CCACATCTTCTTTAACCATTCATCTGTCGATGGACATCTGGGCTCTTTCCATAGTTTGGCTATTGTGGACATTGCTGCTATAAACATTGGGGTGCAGGTGGCCCTTCAGATCACTACATTTGTATCTTTGGGGTAAATACCCAGTAGTGTAATTGCTGGGTTGTACATTAGCTCTATTTTCAACTTTTTGAGGAACCTCCATACTGTTTTCCAGAGTGGCTGCACCAGCTTGCATTCCCACCAACAGTGTAGGAGAGCGTGATCTCTTTTATCTCTCAACAATCCCAGAGGAAGTGGATCAGCTCTACTATCCTGGAAAACAGAGTTGATAAATGATAGAAAGATTCATAGATGATTAGAAATAAAGAGAAAGATGACTTGTGTTTATAAGCACCTACCTAGGGGCGTCTGGGTGACTCAGTTGGTTAAGTGTCTGCCTTCAGCTCAGGTCATGATCCCAGGGTCCTGGGATCAAGCTCCCCATTGGGCTTCCAGCTCAGTGGGGAGCCTGCTTCTCCTTCTCCCCCCTGCCCCTGCTCTCTCTCTCTCAAATAAAATCTTTAAAAAAAAAAAAAAAGCAGCACCTACCTAATGCATGAAGTTGAACCACAGGTGTATCCCAAACATAAATAACATAAACACCATTAGTTCCTAATAAATCACTCTTTCCAAATTATTAAGGCTTCCACATTGCTTAACTTTTCCCACGGGGGTCAGGTGATCCAACTACTTGAAATTGAAGGATATTCTGATAATGACTTCCGGAAACCCCAGAAACAGTTCTGGGTAAGCAAATCTCAAAGAGAAAAGCTAGCATCTTTTTTTTTTTTTTTTTTAAATATCTGGAGCTGCATTAAGCATCCTAGAGCAGCTCCCTTCCTTCCTGTTAGCTGAACGACAGGGCATGTTCCAGAGCCTGCGAGCCCTGGGATCCCGCTCAAGTCTGTCTTCCACCAGCACTGGCTTTTGTCTTTTTGTCAGTTCAAACGGTCTCCTCTTAGCACATCTTCTCAGAGATTCTGGGGGATTCATTTAACCCTACCATTATGTGTCATCAACCACAGGTCACTGACACTTAACATGCATGTACATTGTTGTTAACAAACCAGGTCTCCCACATTGTTGATATTGCACTGCGGACGGTGCCATAAACGGTAACTCAGTATGTCTGCTGGGAACATGATAGGAACTTCACTGGGTTCTATTTGTTTGTGGCCTCGTTGGTCTGAATAAAATGTGACGATGTCTATTCCCAGGAATGCAGGTAGTGGAAACTGTATTTTCAATGAAGTTTTATAAATGTTTGATAGTTTACAGAGGACATTAAAAACGTTTTCTGCTGCAAGCAACTGGCTCGTACGGTTTCATTCAACAGGATTTTCAGGCAAAGACAGCTCAAACATAATTCCTCTCTCCTCATAAATGGGTATACGGTGCAGTCGACGTTCATGGACGGTATTTGCATGAATGAAGTGTTAGATCTGGAAGGTGTGTGCTGGGCTCCATTCTGGGCTCTCCCACTTTGGCTTCTAAGAGTCCCTGACCTTATAGGAGCACCTCCAGTGAGCGGGGTCCCGGCTCCTGTACCTGCAGCTAACCAGAGAGCTTCTTGGTGGTTTCTGCACTATTAGCTCCTGTGAAATGCAGAGTATCTTAGGCTCAGATTGTAACTTTATTGGAATCACCATGATTTCCAAACAGCATAGGATGAGGACATACATTTGAGTGATGGCTGAAAGACTCAGAAACAGTGGAGAACAAGGGCAGCGTTGGCAAATCCTGGTGGTGTTTTTTTTTTTTAAAGATATTTATTTACTTATTTATTTGACAGAGTGAGAGAGAGAGCACGAGCAGGGGGAAGGGGTAGAGGCAGAGGGAGAAGCAGGCTCCCCACTGAGCAGGGAGTCCGATGCAGGACTTCATCCCAGGACTCTGGGATCATGACCTGAGCCAAAGGAGCAACTGAGCCACCCAGGCATCTGGCTAATCCTATTAAAGCAATCCCCACTATCCCTCTTTCCTTCTAACCAGAACCAGCACTCAAAGTCCTTCTTACAGTAACTCCAGTAGTCTCCACCAACCATCCAACATGGCACTCAAGGGTAGAACCCTCTGCCAGATTACACTGCAGGACGCCCCTCTGCCAGATTACAGATTACACTGCAGGACGCAGTCATTCTGCAACATACTGGGTGGCCAGAGGAGAACAGGTCTTATAATCAAGACAAGTCAACAGTGTTGCATCTTCCATCTTGCTTTTGGGGGACTAACATGTTGGGCGACTGGCATTCTAAAGGCCCAGAGAAGTCCTGCAGAAAGGAAGCCTAGGGGGCGCCTGGGTGGCTCAGTTGGTTAAGCGACTGCCTTCGGCTCAGGTCATGATCTCAGGGTCCTGGGATCGAGCCCCGCATCGGGCTCCCTGCTCGGCGGGAAGCCTGCTTCTCCCTCTCCCACTCCCCCTGCTTGTGTTCCCTCTCTCGCTGTCTCTCTCTCTGTCAAATAAATAAATAAAATCTTTAAAAAAAAAAAGAAAGGAAGCCTAGTTCCTTTGATTAACGCAGCATTTCCCACACTCGCAAAAATAGCAGAAGGTCCCTCAGAATGTACATGGCAAAAACCCCGCACTTAGAATCTCCTCATCCTCCAAGTGTGAGGCCGGTGTGAGGGCCACACAGCCCCCTCAGGGGTTGGCTATAGAAAAAGAATACCGTGGTATGCTCTCTCCCTGAGTCAACAAACAGTTCCCCAGGACTCCCAAAGTCCTCTGGAGATCTTTGCATATAAAAGGAAGTGAACAGAAGCCCCACTGGCAGCCCGCAAACACTATAGACCAATAGCATCTCTGGCCCCTTGGCTTCCTGCCTTGGCAAAGCCACTGGTCGCTTTGTGCTCACTCCCTAAATACAGGCTGTGTTTCAGATCTACTCAGAATCTGTAAGTGGCCATGTTTGTTTTCAAGTGGTTAATCAAATACCATAAAATTATATTCAAATACACCAACGCCTTAATAACAAATTAAATTGGATAAACTGCAGGTTGAACTCGGGAAAATAAAAGAATAATTAAATCGGGATTTCCTGCTTGATAAAGATCTCAGAGGTCTAATCCCCTCATTTTATAGGTGAGAGAATGGAAGCCCAAGGAAATGGAATAAAGTTCAAAAGAAATTGATTGGATTGCTTTTATGGACCAAGAATAATGCAAACTACATGTTAACAAATCATTAGCACACAAGATGGATTTTTAGGACATTGCATATTAAAGGAGCCCTGGTGATGAGGAAAATCTTAAAAACTGATTGGTTATCAAACAATCAAACAACTCTCCTTCAAACATGTTTCTTCTGGGGTGCCCGGCTAGCTCAGTCAGTAGATCACGTGACCCTTGATCTCAGAGTTGTGAGTTCAAGCCCCACACTGGGTGTAGAGCTTATTTTAAAAAAAAAAATTAATTAACCTCTTATTTTAATTACACTGATAACCCTTTTATGCTTTACATTCCATAAGGTCAAAGGACACATATCACCTTGGTATACATATAGCTACGAAGATGCGCCCTTTGGCATTCAGCACCACAATTTCATTTCGCATAACCTATCCTAAGGCTCTCCCATGAAGTACATGCGTTGACTGAGGTTATGGGTTTGCTTAATGATGATAGAATGAGAGATGATAAATAGATAGAATGATAGATGGGAGATACAGCTAGATTTGTCAATTATAAAACAGCAATGCTCAGAGATCATTTAAGACTTCCTTAAATTTCAAACTGACACAGCTTCCTAGCTTTGTAATTCGCAAATGCTTCTAAAATCCCCACTATTGCCTGTGCAAACATCCAGGCAAATACGCTGGAAGCTCACTACAACATCATAGAAGCTGAAACTGCAGGTTGCAAAGTGGACCTCATCTTTAGCTTTTCCACGTTTCATTCAAACCTGTTGATGTTCTGGGCTGGAGAATGAAAAGGCATCAGAAGGTCAGGTTTTCAAGGATCAAACTTTCCATTGTTCTTTGAATCCAAGATCCGGCTGTGAGTACAGAGCTTTGCATAAGAATTAGTCCTCTTCCCTGTATCAAGTCTGCTATTTTCAGCACAGCCTCGCAATCTTCGATTTCTGGGTATGTAACTATGGCAATAAGATTAAATGGCATTCAGTAAAATTCATTTTAAAAATTAGCTTGGGAGGGTGTCCATGATGATGATGAAGGAACAAGGCAAAAGTACTAGGAAACAAGGGAAAATGAAACCGGGTTTTCTAATTGTCTTCACTATAATTCTCAAAGCCATCTAGTGCCATATGGCAGTTTGCGAGTGAGGTACGGTGACTTGAAAAAAAATGATCAGATAACTGCCTGACAGATTCCTTGACTCAGCGGAGGTAGCACGCCTCTCCACTCGCCTCTGGACCATCATACAGCATCCTTTGTCTGTGAGGGCTTGTGTCTGTGCGCTTTGCCAGAGGCTTTGATCTGGGACTTTTTATACTAAACAACAGTCAAATCAATTTCAAACACCTTCATTACAGTACACAGCTCATTATGTTCTGGAATAATGTTTGGTTCCAAGCCCCAGGCCATGTTATAATGAGGACAGGAGTGCACACCAGTCCACGCTCCACAGTGATTCCGTATTTCTAGGCAATCGTGCAATCACCACTGGTCTAGATGGGGAGCAGGCCCTCATTTGCAGCCTTTAAAAGATGCTTTCCTAATGTTTTAAACCGTTGGCCATAGAACATGGTTCGGGGTTTGTTTGTTTGTTTTCTCTTCCTTAAGCAAAGTATAGCTGACATACAGTATAGTTTCAGGTGTCCAACATAGGGACTCAGTATCTACATACATTATGAACTGATCACCATGATAAATCAAGCTACCATCTGTCACCATGTAATGTTGTTACAGTATTATTAACTATATTCCCTGCGCTGTACATTACAGGTCCCTGTCTCACTTATTTTATAACAGAGTTTGTATCTTTTCAGCCCCTTAATTTTGTTACATTGTTAATGTTTTCCCTTTCTATTGGAAGACTTTTTTAGAAATGTATATGTAGATATGGAAAAGAAGACCCTCGATTAATATTTTTTCAAATCCTTTTTAAAAAATATTTCATTCATTCGATAGAGAGAGAGAGAGCACAAGCAGGGGGAGAGGGGCAGAAGGAGAGGGAGAAGCAGACCTCCCCTCCCCCAGCTGAGCTGAGAGCCTGCTGTGAGACTCAATCCCAAGATCCTGAGATCATGACCTGAGCCGAAGGCAGACGCTTCACCGTCTGAGCCACCCAGGTGCCCCTATTTTTTCAAATCCTTA